AGGGGCAAAAGGAGACACAAATACATTATGTATTAATAAAAGGTTCAATAGAGCAAAAAGATACAACAATTATAAACATATATGCACCTAATAACAGACCAGCAAAATATATGAAACAAAACATGACAAAATTGAAGGGAGAAATAGAGCTCTACAATAATAGTTGAAGACTTCAATACCCTATTCTCAATGATGGAGAGAACAACCAGACAGAATATCGGTAAGGAAATAGAAGACTTAAAATAACACAGTAAACCAACCAGGTCTAATGGACATACAGAACACTCTACCTAACAACAAATAGACTACAAATCTTCTTAGGTGCTTATGGGACATTTTCCAGGACAAACCATAAGTTAGGCCACAAATTAGTCTCAATTTATTAAAAAAGATAGATATCACACAAAGTATCTTTTTTGACCACAATGGGATAAAGTTAGAAATCATAATTAAATAAAACTAGAAAACCACAAAATTGTGGAAATTAAACAACACGCTCTTAACCAAAGAAGAAATCATAAGGGAAATTAGAAAATACTTAAAGACAAAAACACGAAATACAAAATACCAAAATTTATGGGACACAGTGAAAAGTGTGAAGGGGAATATTTATAGCTTATAAATGCTTACATTTAAAGAATAAGAAAGAATCACATTAACAACGTAACCTTACAACTTAAGGAACTAAAAAATTAAGAAGCAACCCCAAAGTTTGCAAAAGAAAGGAAATAAAAAAGATTCAAGCAGCTCTATCTACCTCGTGAGGACAGCAAAAAGGCTGCTGTCTGTAAAGAACGAGGGCTCTCTGTAGACACTGCATCTGGCAGCACCTTGATCTTGGACTTGCAGCCTACAGAACTGGGAGAAATAATGTTTATCATGTAAAGCACCCAGATTGTGGTGTTCTGTTATATTAGCCTAAACTGACTATGAGATCCACCCCTAGTATAACCCAATGAACTTTATGAAATGAGCACACCCAAGTGACCGCTACCCAGATCAAAGCATGAAAGGTAATCAGCAAACCAAAAGCCTGTTTGTACCCCTTCTTATCCCAGTTAACTTTGCTGGCCCTCCAAGTTATTTCCTTATAATTTTGATAATTTCTTATAACTCATGATTTTCCTTTGAATTCAGATGTCTACCTTACAGGATAGACTTTGGAGCATTATCATTCAGGACAGTGGTTGTCATACCTTCTCGGAGCAGCAGAGCCCTGGCCTCACGTGAAGCCTTTGTTGGGACTCCAGTATGTATCCTGGATGAAGAACAGGCTTAGGTTGCACTGGAGGCAGCACCCAGAGCTCATGCCTCCCGTCTCTCTCTACACTCTGGGTCCAAACGGTACCTACTGAAGCACCCCCCAAGAACTCGGAGGGCTTCCTTGAACCCAATTTGGAAATCACTCCTTTGAATGCTCATTAACACCCCAGTAAGACAAATATCCAACTTGTACCTCACCTTAGGTGACCCATGTTCTTGTCCGAGGCCCCTGGGATGATGATCAGGACACAGCAAGGGGTCTGCTGTGGAAATGGCTCAGAGTGAGTAGTACAGGTGGGCCTTGTGTCTAAGAGGTAAAGCTGGCAGTGTGGGCATCTGTGAGAAAACAGGGCCTGAGAGCAAGCAAGTGAGTGAGGCCCATTATTTAAAGGGGAGGTAGGGACACACCAAACAGGTCTAGGCCTGTGGCTTGGCTTCTCCACTCGGCTCCTGTGTAGCCTAGCAAAGCTCACTCAACCTCTCTGAGCCTCAGTGAACACTGTGTAAAAAGAGAAACTGTTCCTTATTTAGGCTCCCTGCCAGAATTTGTGCACTGTTCAGATGGGATAGTGGGGAGTAAAGATGTTGTCACTCTAGAGCAATGGTTCCCAACAAGGGGTAATTTTGCCCACCACACCCTCCCCTGGGGGCATTTGGTAACATCCAAAAATATTTTTGGTTGTCATAATTGAGGGAGGGGAGCAGGAAAAAAAAAGATTCAAGCAGAGATAAATGAAATAGGTTACAGAAAAAGAATAGAGAAAAATCTATGAAACCAAAAGTTTGTTCCTTGAAAAGATAAACAAAATTGAAAAAACTTTTAGCTAGATGGACTTAGAAGAAAAAAGAGAAGATTTGGGCCGGCCAAGTGGCTCAGTTGGTTAAGAGCCTGCTCAAGAGTGAGAGCTCTGGGCAACAGGGCCGCCGGTTTGATTCCCACATGGGCCAGTGAGCTGCACCCGAGCTGAGATGCCACTGAGATGCCAACAGGTAGCAGGATGGCTCAGCTGGTGAGAGCACATGCTCCTAACAAGACTGCCTGTTCGAGATGGTGGCTATGCCCGCCCGCAAACAACTAAGACTGAACTCAGCACCTTGAGCTGAGCTGCCGCCCGGATGGCTCAGTGGATAGAGTGTGTGCTCTTAACAAGGCTGTTGGTTCAACTCCTGCATGGGATGGTGGCTATGTCCACCCACAACTAATTGAACACAGCACCTTGAGCTGAGCAGCATGACTGGACTTAGAGCTGAGCTAGTTAAACCCTCCACAACTAAGATTGAAGGACAACAGCTTGGCTGTTCCCCTCCCCCAATTCCCCAATAAAATCTTTAAAAAAAAAAAGACTCGAATTACAAAAATTAAAAATGAAATTGGGGACATTACTTCTGATTCTACAAAAATAAAAAAGAGAATACTATGAAAAATTGTATGCCAAAAAGTTGGATAACCTAGATGAAATAGACAAATTCCTAGAAACACAAACCTACCAGGACTAAATCATGAAGAAATAAAATTATGAATAGATCTATAATTAGTAAGAATATTGAATCAGTAATCTAAAATGTCCTGGCAAATAAAAGCCCTGGACCTGATGGCTTTACTGGCAAATTCTACCAAACATTTAAAGAACTAATACCAACCTTCCAAAACTTTTTTTAAAAATTGAAAAGTAATGACCTCTTTGTAACTCATTCTTTGAATCCAGCATTACCTTAATGCCAAGGCCAAAGATACTACAAGAAAACTACAGACCGATATTCCTTATGAACACAGATGCAAAAATCCTCAAAATTCTAACAAACCGGGCCGGCCGAGTGGCGTGTTGGTTAAGAGCTGGCTTGGGACGCCAGAAGGCCCCAGTTCGGATCCCACATATGAGGGCCAGTGACGCTGCCCTCTACAGCTAAGATGCTGAACAACAGTTCAACCTGGAGCTGGGCTGC